TCAGTTTAAAGCGGGTTCGCCATGCCGTTCCCACGATGAAGATTCCTGACCCATTGTTAAACTTCCCATGTGCGATCTGCTGCATGCGAAGCTTCGGAATTTCTGGCGGGTGGCACACTGTGTGCCCTGTCGCACAAATTCTGGCAATTTCTGGCTTCGGACAAAAGTTAAATATGTCTCTTCAATTTTACAAGCATTGTGTCTTTATCTGAGAGGCACCGCTTGTGTCTGTGATTTCTTGCCTCAACGATGGCTTTGTGTATGCATTCGGCTCGTGCTGGCGTGTTCCAGAAAAGCCAAGACAAAAACACCAGCAGTGGTGAATACTAAAGTGTGCATCGCATGTTTGGTTACACATGCATCTGGAAGTGCCATGATTCGCGGCATGTGCATCTCCTTCCAGTTTTTTTCCAGAGCGACAGGAGAGCCAGTGTCGCCGGCTACATCAGTGTCAATGACAGATTTTCAATCCGGGCAGACACGTCGCAGGAAGTGCTGCTTTCAAGAGTGCCTCGCCTGCCAGTTTTTGGATGTACAGTGCTTTGCCGACTTTCAAAGCAAGGAATGACACTCGCCGGAGTGGATGATGTTCGTGGGTTGCCACTGCAACTGGCAGTGTGCGCAGCAAGGGTTGTTGAAAAAGCAAGAAAGGCAGGAGTTGAACATAGTTGAACGACTGATACACTATCGAAATGAATTCCATGTGATTGCTGAACAGCGAAGTAATCGCCCGCGAGCCCAGCTTTTGAAATCCAATAAGCCCTGCATCGCTGAAATGCAAACGATCTGATAATCCATCCCTTGGAAGCAAGACTTGTCAATGTTTCAGTGAAGCTTCATGACTTGTTCCAAGTCCTAGCCCAGGCAAGCCAGTTTGTGCTAGACAGAAGGCAACATACAACTTTCAACATGGCCGGGAGTCGCAGCCAAGGGGCCGAATTTGTCCTGGCTGGGCTAGCGGCTTGCGGTGCCATCACCTTGACCAACCCGATTGACGTGGTGAAAACACGCCTGCAGCTGCAAGGCGAACTTGCCGCTGCAGGCGGCAAGGCCTACACAGGGATCGGCCAAGCACTGCTCCGCATCTCGCGAAAGGAAGGCCTCCGTGGCTTGCAGCGTGGTCTCAGCGCGGCGTATTTGTTGCAATTCAGCAACGTCGGCTGCCGTTTCGGTGCTTACGGCTCCCTCAAACAGCTTTTTGGAGTGAAGCCTGGAGCTTCGGCAACCGACAGCCTCTCCTCGATGCTTCTGGGTGCGGCGTCTGGCTCACTGGCGGCCATAGTGTCGAACCCCTTCTTCCTGCTCAAGTCAAGATTTCAAGCAGCAGGAAGCGAGGATGTGCTTCATCAGCATTCCCATCTGTCGCTCAGGACCCACAAGACTGCCAGTTTCATCGCACATCTGAAGCCGCCTTCGTTGTGTTCAGGAAAGCCTTCCGCGAAATTGGCCAGCTCCAGGTCATGGCAGCTTTTGCAGGCAGTTTCTTCTTGCTCGGGCTTGCCCTAGGGCTTTCGGGGCTACTACCGTGGCCTTACGGCATTTGTGCCCGGACCTCAGGGGCAGGGAGTCACAGGGATTCTTCTCGCAGTGATCAAGCGCCGACACCAAAGTTCCGCTGTGGCTTTGGAGGCCCCGTGTTGCTGCCGCCACATCGGTGCCGAGCCTTCTAGAGTTGCTTTCGCCGCACAACGTGGTCAGTCGTGAAGCTGGCAGGTGCAGCTGTCCACATACGACATCAGCAAGGAATGTATTCTCAGATATGTGCAGGTGCGAGGAGGTTTTATTTGCTTCTGGTGATGGTTTCCATCGAATCGTTCCCATGGCAGGTGAAGGATGGGGTCGCCATTCACTTCGTAGCCAGCCTCTTGCCGGGGGGCTCGGGGCACCAAGCGAGCACAGAGCCATGACGTAGACTCAGATGTCGGCTCCGCTTAGCATCACTGTTTGTTGTGGATGTTGACTCTGCCGGCAGAAGAGCAGCAGTTGCCCCACGCCCGGAGCTGCAAGGGTTGCAATCTGAAAGTCTCGAGCCACACTTGCGGTATTCCCAACTTCCCAGCTGTGCTTCCCCTGCCTCATGGGGTGATTTTTTTTTCTACTGGGGGTTGCCTCAAGCACAACTCTTCTCGGAAAGCTTGCGAGGGTGATGGTTGTCTAGAAGCGGCCAACACTTCCAAGTAACGATGTGAACATGTCAGGTGCCAGGGAGCACGACAAAGGGCTTCCACGCCCAAAAGCCAGAATTTAGACTTTCGCTGCGTCTGATTGTCGTCGCAAGGTCTGGCGTTGCTGTTACTATGGCGATGCAGCCTTTTGACATTGTAGCAGTGAGGCAGGACGTCATGATTGGTTCAACTGACGGAAGTGCCGAGGCAATGGAGTTGTAAGCTGAACCAGGTTGATGAATCAGCCCCACAAAGAGTGTGGCAGCGGACTTCTTTACTCTGGACCAGTGGACTGTTTGAAGCAGATGCTGGAGGCAGAAGGTGTGTCAGAAGCCTAGCGGGCCGCAGGATGTGCCACAACATGTCACGGCTGTCACGGGTTGTTTACTCCTGCCAGCCGTCTTGGTTCAGCTCGAAACTAATGAGTACAGCCTCAAACAGACTCTTCAGCTTGACACATCACGTGATGTCTGCGTCTGATCCTCCTTGGTGCGTTACAGGAGGGTCCGGATTCCTGGGGTCTTGGTGCGTGAAGCTGTTGCTGGAGGAGGGTCACACAGTGAGAACGACGACTCGCAGTGCAGAGAAGGCTGCATACCTGAAGAGTCTTCCCGGATCTGAGCGTCTCACGATTCTGGATGGAGTCGACCTGCTCACTCCAGGGGCCTTCGATGATGCCATTCGTGGCTGCAGCTGTGTTTTGCACACTGCATCTCCGTTCTACTTCAAGGGCGGATCTGAAGAAAAGCTCGTGACTCCAGCGGTGGAAGGAACACGAAACGTGTTGAACTGTTGTCGCAGACTGGGGGTGAAAAAGGTCGCGCTTACCTCTTCCACGGCGAGCGTGTATACTAATTATGGAAAACTGCCTGCAGATCATGTGTACACCGCTGAGGATTTCTCACCCGAGGATGTACTGCGTGAAAAGGAAAACTGGTACTGCCTGTCGAAGTTATTGGCCGAACAGTTGGCTTGGAGCATGAGCAAAGAATCTGGATGCCCTTTTGATCTTACAGTTCTGACACCGACGCTAATCTGGGGCCCTATGCTACCCGGCCAGCCTCACATGAATACCTCTGCAAGTAGCTTGGTCGGCTATATGGACGGAAGTCTCAAAGTCATCGAGAACGCTTGCAAGACAGTTGTTGATGTCCGTGACGTGGCGAAAGCTCACATCGAGGCAGCACGTAATGATCTCGGTGGACAGCGATTCCTGTTGATTGGTGGCTCTCCTCATTTCACAGCCGTGGCCGAGTATGTTCGGGAAGCACTCCCAGGAGCTTTGCAAGCGAACGTGCCGTCAGAGTTGTCATCGGAACTTGGACCGGCTGTGATGGGGCCAGCGCCGCCCCTGCCTGTCCTGTATGATGTCTCGCCAGCAGAGCGCCTTCTTGGGATACGCTTCAAAACAGCGCAGGAACAGGTAGAAGCCATGGTAAAGTCCATGCTCGACAATGGTTTCCAGCGTTCGGATCAGTATGTGCCAGACAAGTAAGCAGGCTTGGTTGAAAAAGCCGATTGATAGCACAAAATGTGTGGTCCGGTCATATTCGTCGTGTTATTTTGTCTGTTCTGGGTTTTCCGACAGGCCCACTCATCCCAGCACCCCTTTTCTGAGCGAGGTTCGGCCTTTACAAAGGGGCCGCAGCAAACTACGTGCGCTTTGGACCGTGCCGCCGCGTCAAGATGCTTCGGCGCACATCTCGCCACAACTGTGTCGTTCGTTCTTCGTGCTGCCTTTGGTTCGCCTCGCAGGTACTGCACCCTGACATTCGTCTTCCTCGAGCAGCTCCGCCTCGCGTGCCGTCCCCATGCTACCTCGACACCCGAAATCCTTACGAGTACAGCAGCCAACAGGTGGGACCGCGGAGTTTCTGCGGCTGCGTGCTGACGATCTCCTTGGATGCGGATCTGAGAGTTGCAAAGACCTCTCTCGACGGACCAGTGACTAGTCACTAGGTTCTGCAGCGTTTCACTCGATAGTTTTCCCCGCAGAACGAAGAGTAATATTACGACCCAACGCAGGTGCGGCCTCTGCCACGGACTTCAGTTAAAGCTAAGTACGCTGCTTGATGGCTTGATGATATCGGGATGGCTCGAAGCAGAAATGGCTGCCTTGCCGACAGACTGCAGCCTTCAACTTGCTTTAGGCCACAAGGATAAACAACCAATGCCAAGGCATCGTCGGAATACACGACCTGCACTTTTCATGAGTCTTAAAGATTGTCCGGCAATGGCAGCCAACAGGACTGGCGGACGGTTTGGCCTCCTTTTCTTCTATGTCACTGTAGAGTTTGAAAGTTGCTCGTGTGGACCTGGCTGGCATGGCATCCAGACAGGTTTGATGACTCCACAGCCTTTGGCTTAGCTTCGTGCATGAATGACATAAGTTCTTGACAGGCCATAAGCAGGCCCCGACGACCCAGCTACTCGTACCATCACGTACCACGGCGACTGCCCTAAGTATCAGAGACTGCCTGGCGCAAAGCCGACATCAACCATATAATGTAGCCGTATGAAACATCTTGGCATCATCCTTTTGCGTGCTGGTCCCTTTCGCTTGCCACGATGCTGTTGCGGACCATGCGTATGTGTCCCATGGAAGAAAGGGCAGCCATGGCAATTTAGCCATGGGCCAGTGTGGCTGCAGCAGAAGTGATGCAGCACCGACCAATAGGAGCTCAAGAAAGGAAGACAATGTTGAGTCGGCTTTGTTGAACGAGTCTCGGCGCTTTATCCTAGAGCGGACCAAAGCCAAGCGTGGGCCGCAAGGAGTGGAGCTAGGCTGGTTGAACTTCATGGTCCAGAAGCTTTGGCCAAAGCTGAGCAAGGCTTGTACTGCAATAATCAAGGAGGAGCTTCAGCCCAAACTGCAGGCTGCTGTGCCTGCAGTTCTCAGTGGGATCTACTTCAAGAAGCTAGACTTCGGAAATCAGCATCCCTTGCTGGGCCCAGTGGGTGTCGCCCATGGGAAGCAGAACCAGTACGACGGATTGGAGCTCGACGTGAAGCTTGTTTGGCAGTGCAATGCCGAGGTAGTGCTCGAAGTCCAGGGAATTGAAATCGGTCTGGAAAAGATCAGAATCGATGGGACGGTTCGATTGCAGCTGCGGCCTTTGCTGCACCACTTCCCAAGCATGGGAGGGCTGCAGATCACCATGATGTCTCCGCCGAATTTGAACTGGAACTTCCGCGGCCTCCTGGGGGCCTTGCAGCTTGATGTGCTTTCGCGGGTGATGCGCCAGGTTGTGGCAGACCAGATATCCGAGCTACTGGTGGTCCCAAACCTTCTATTCCTCCATTGGATGGACTCCTCGGCCGATGTGGACCTCGAAGTGCTCCAATTCCCTCATCCCGAGTGCATCGTCCGCCTTTGCGTGAGAGAGGCCCGAAACCTGAGAGGTTCCGACTGGAACTATTTCGGTTTCAAAGGCACCTCGGATCCCTATGCTTCTTGCCTGCAAAATGATGGGTGATTGGTCTTGGTGGTCTTGGCTTCGGCACGTTGTAAGGCCCATTGACCTGTTCCCTGCATAGTGTATGGGTGCTTGAGGTGTCGGTGCATTTGGGCTCGCGTCTCTGGCATACTCCCAAGAAGACGCGGACACGGAACCCCAAATGGGGCGACGCAGGCCGGCTGTCCGCACTGATTGCGGTTGTCTTGCGTTTGACAGCATGCTCATGCAAGATGGCTCCGGCAGATTGCACTTGGAGGCTAGGTCGAAAGAGTCTCAATTCCGAGGCTGTGAAGACTTCTTTGTGTACACGCCAAGCCAGTTCGTGAAGGTCGATGTCTATGATGCAGACATCGGGCCAGGACCGTTGCCCGAAGAGAGTGTCGAGTAGTGCTTGAGCTTGTTGCATCGGGACCCCGACTTGGGATCTTAGAAGACTGCAAGCGGCACCCCATGAAAGTTGCAAACGCACCAGAGAGCCGCCACTCTGAAATCGCACATTTGCGGATTCTGTGAGAGATCTCTGGAGGCACGGACGACCATCTTGGCCACGTCGCTGGTCTCAAGGTCGAGGACCTGCTGAATTCTCCGAGCCAGTGGCCTCGGCCTGAGCGCCCGGGGGCTTTTTGTATCTGTTTGTAGCATGTCGTGGCGATGTGTGTGGCCCGCCTGTCTGCCTGTCTGAGGTGGCCTCTCTCTGGACGCAAAGTGAGAGATGCTCAGCCGGAGCCAGGCACCGCTTCCCAGGATACCTCCCAGGATCACTCGCATCCGCACGGGGAGGCCAGGCAAAAGTGCAAACTGCATTTCGACGTTCGAAGTATGCAAGCATGACAGTCGCGGAGCCGTCGCACAGCATACCAGTGCGCAGGTTTACATCCAAGCTCGATTCTACGATCTCAGGCTGTGGGGGGGAAAGAGCCACGGTGGCTGACATTCAAAACCTGGACCATGCCTGCTGAAGTCTTCGAAGGACGCATCGACAAGACGTTCCAAAGCCCATGGGAAAGGAACGAGCCTTAGGATATGGCGGATGTGTGGTCGAGCTTCTATCGCTACCTGTACTCCACAGCAGCAAAGGCAGATGCTGAAGCTTTCGTCTTTATCGATCTGCGGAGCTTGCGTGGTTTGCAGCAGAAGCAGGCGCGTTTTTGCAGGCCGCGGAAAGTACGGGGCTGTGAAGACTTGCCAGAGGCCCAAGGAGCCACCATCACCTTCAAGCTCGAAGGGAACACCCACAAGAGCAGAGGTGCCACATACAAGGCCCTGGCGAGATGCTTCACTGCTTCACTAACCTACAAAATCAAGAGAGATGGTGTGAACTCTGGAGGCGACCACCTACGGCTCTGCGCTGACTGCATCAGCCCAAAGACTTGTGGAACACCTGCAGAATTCCCAGGACAGACTCTGCAGGTAGAAACGGAGCCGCAGCCAGAGCCGGGAGAAGCCTCTGACACTGACACGGCAGACATTTCAAACGTGTTTTCAAGTCCTGATCGCAGGGCAAGTCCATTGAGGAAATCATGAAGATATCTGGACTCAGCAAGGAGCAGGTGGATCACCAATGATTCTGTCAGCTTCGCTCGATTCCGAAGCAGATTGTTTTGTTCAGTTGCGCAGGCAAGACTTTGGGGCGAACGAGGGCTCAAGTTGGTTGTCCGACTGTGACAGGTTGCTTCAGTGGTGCAGGCTCGACCGTCTTTCACAACGCCTGCCGCTCGGGGAGGAAGGTCAAAGTATGTTGCAGCACCTGACGTTCTATCACCGCGTGAAGCTCCAGAGTGCCAAGATGTGCCAAGGCGGTGGCACCAACCCTTCTCTTTCCCCATTCGGGATCTGGACAACGTGGGCACCAAGGGATCAGAGAGCTGCTCTGTCGATGTTTCATCCTTCGACGACCGTGAGGCGCAGTTGGAGATCTCGCTGGGAATCCGGCGCCAGGAACTTAGGCGAGAGCTCGAGGACTCGACGCCTACTGTACGGCCTACCCATGGGTTTTGCCACCTGTCCGGTGTTCCTTTTCAACCCAGGCCCAAATCAGAAGTCCCTCGCGCAGCTGAAGAGTCCCATCTACCTCAAGGACCGGTCCTTGCATTACCTCGTAGTCGGAAGTGGATGCCTGCTGTGCTTTTTGGGCTTGTGTTCATGACAGGATCTGGTGGACAGCGGCAAGTGGTACGGCGCCTACTGAAGCCCTGTTCAATGCACCGCAACAGCGTACCGCATTGGGGTCAGCGAGGCAGCTTGACAAAGCCTTGGTGCTTGATTTGGACGGTAAAGAAGGCTCCAGCAATCGCAGTGGCTTCGTATGGAGGCCCCAGGCATGTACCCTGCACAGCCTGCGCTGTAGGCGCCAGCGTGGTGCCGGGTCCTCAGTGTTTCCCAACACGGCACGGAAGCTCCGGTGAAGTCCGCCAGGCTCGAAACTCTTGAGCTCAGCTTGCGGATAACGCTGCGGAGCTTATCACTTTCGACGTCCGAAGTCGGGTCCGAACTTCAGAGCACGAGTCCCAGTGCTCATTCGACTCCAAATCTGGGCGGCATTTGATGCGCGTGCAGCAGCTGCAGCGGAGTAGGAGCCGGCACTCATCGGTTTCACGCGTCGCCGAAGTCAATGCAGATCTCGGCTGTCGGAACCTGCGCCATGCTTTCCTTGCGGACCATCGCCAGTCATAGACACATGTTTTTGCTTGGGGCAGGGACCGAGCAATGATTCTTCCATTTCTGCATCTGCATGTTTACGTCACGTTCAAGACGTGGGTCTTAAGCGGATGCAGTCGTAGAGATTGGCCTCCTGTGCACACAGTTGGTCCTGCCACTCCACCTTCCGCAGAAATGGTCGCGAGTGACTGTGGCCCTTCAGACGGAGTTGGCTTCGCTGGTCAGAGTTTTTAACGTTTCGGCTGACAGGACCTCTCCTCTCTTGAAGAATCCCGACTGGCCGGATGGGGAGGCCCAAGCTCGCAATTTGGAATCACGAGTGTCACGGTCACGATGCCTAGCGACTGATGCCCAAGGCTCCAGCGGGCTGGGCTTCTATCGACCTCAAAGAGGCCAAAGAAGATACTTTTGAAGGCTTTGAAGCAAGTACCGGCCTGCCTGGCATGAGGTCGTCCTGCGGGAGGAGCATCTCAGACTGACAGCCGAAGCTCGCATAGAGACTGCATGTTGCCCTTGCCTTAGTGGTATCTCCTACCTTCGGTGCTTCCTGTCCCTGGAGGGCTGTGATCAGGCACGGAACATGCTTTGGCATCGCAACTTTCTGAGATGAAGGCACGGCGGACCCTCCACTTGGCTGAAAGCCTAAGCTGGTTTTGCTGTGTGTTGCCCCAGAACCTTTTCTGCCGCATCCCGTGTGGTCCGAGCATCCTTTTTGAAGCCTTTGGTAGCTTTAGCTTGCAGTGTCCTCGAGTGTTCCACTGCGATGCTGCTCGGACGACTCGCCGCTCCCCGGCCGAGCCAGTTGGGGACTTGTTCAAAGGTCTTGGTGCGGAATGTGGTATCTTGTTCAGGCTGCCAGGAGGATTGGAGTCTCCGCTGCTACGCCCTTCGCCAAGTTCAACGCACGAGCCTTCGCTGCGCAGGCGGGTCGCAACGCCTTGCAGATCCTTGCGCCATGCGATGAGATCGAGCCTTCGCAGGCCTCATCTCCGCGTCCGCTGTCCATCCGGGGAGATGGCGGCTTAGATGCGCTTGGCATTCGCAGCACTCGTATGTTTCAGGAAAGCTGGCAGCAGGGAAACTGTTTTCTGACCATGTCCTTCTCGAGTCATCAAGCAGAACTAGTGTAATAAGTTGATTGCAGCATCCTGTTGATGGTATTCGTTGTGGCAGCTTTAGAGCGTTGGTCTCTTGCAGTTCGGCCAGAATTGAGTCAAGACCCTCATTAATGGAATGCGTCGATCGTGGAGGAAACCAGGACAGCTGTTCACGGCTCGACAATTCTAGCATATTCCAGCTTCCGGCAGCTTGATTTACCCTGCTTTCAAGCCTCGTTTGATACCTCCGTAAGACCGTCTCGTATCGTCGCATCATGGGAATGATGTGTGATCGTTTTGTAGAGCAAACCCGAGGCCTGATGTTTCAGTGCGTCACTGCGGCGCTGCTGGGCTTTACAAGTGGTGCAGTGCTCCAGCATGTCCTGCAGAAGCTGCCAAAACCATTCCATGGATTCCAGATCCAACTGTAGTCCAACTGTCGCTGTTTTGTGCAAGTTCGCCATCGTGTCAGCACGGGGCAAGCCGCGAACATGGACGGTGCTCGACACTCCCAGGCTGATCTACTTCGTGCCTCAAGATGCGGTGTTCCTGGGCGGCCTCTTCTACCTGTGGCACAACACTGCTGCATCCATCAGCCCGAAGGCAGGCGCGGCTTGTTGGTGCTTTTGTGGCACACTCAGCTGACTGGCCAGGTCCCGAAAGCTGATGCCGAAGCTGCGGTTGAAGAGTTCAAGGCCCGTGCGCACGTGCATTCATTCACCGATGTTCACCGTGCTTCTCATGTGAAGGCCAAGAAGGGGATCGAGAACGTCAAGGTCTCCAAGGCAGCTCGGTAGCCTAGCACATGAGCCCTGAACAGCGCCCCTGCTTTCAACTTCCCGGTTGTGTTTACCAGAAAGCAGCAAGGCTCGAGCGTCTTTCAGCTTGTTCCCTCTACCTGCCAGGGGCGTAGCACCTGGACCGTCTCATTCTGAAGCTGAGGGCAGGCAACTTTTTCAAACAAGCTTCGGGACCTCTTCCAGTGCTATTCCAGTGCTATTCCGCGGGCAACATACTGCTGTCTTGTTTTGCTGGCGGGAGGCCCACCCCAGCAGCTCGGCGCAGCTCAGCACGTTGGTGTGGCTTTGGCTTGCGCCCTGAACTGATGAGATGATGCACGGATGCTGCATGCGTGTCCACGTGCTCAGACGCGACAAGACCTCAAGAGAGGACCTTCGCTTGAATCTGAAAAAGCACAGAAGTGCGGGAATCCTTGCAACTCATCCGGCTGTCAGAAAATATGCTGCTTTGACTGCTGTGCTCATGCCACAGGCAGCAGCAAAGTCTTCCCTTGCGAGAGCAGCAAACTGGAAGGATGAGGCCTCATTGTGCTGGCGACGCACTCTTCGTAATTCTGTACAAGGACAGTCCTGGATCCGCCAGGCCTTGCGGCATCTGTCCAAGATTGAGAAGCACCGCCGTGAGGAGGTCCCCAGCTTGGGGGTACTCGTAGCCCTGTAGTTGGCTGAAGCTTCCTTTTCGTCCAGGTCAAGGATCTCCTCGAAGCTGAAACCATGCTTCGAAGACAGATGCAGGATGCCAGGATCTCGTCACAGGGACGAGCATCAATGTACAGGCTGCAGTTCAACAAGTGACATGGCTCGATCTTCAGGCTGAAGACTCCTCTGTGCCTGGGCTTCATCAGCAGGCAGTCAGCAGGGCCAAGCAACAGATGCGAGTCGAAGTCCTGAGGGTTGGACTTTGTTTTGCGACTTAGGACAAGTGTTTGGCAGAGCTGCGAAGCGAACATGCTCATGCGGAGCGATTCAAGCTTAGCCTCTCCGAGTTCATCCTGTGTGCCTCAAGCTGTGCCTCAAGCTCCAATATGCGTCAATCTCAGGCAGAGTTGCGAGGGAGTTCGAGGAGTGCGACGTCAGCAGCCTCGGCAGATGTCCTGTGAACAACACTCTCCATGTCTCAGTGAGGCAGCTCTGTTGGTGCGCTCCAAAGCCGCAGAGGTCGCATGGCTTGCATGGTGACCATAAAGACAGCACCCACACAGATCAACGCTGCGTTCCCGCTCTTCTGGTTCTATGCAGGAACTACTCGCGGCTGCAGACAAGGAAAGAAGTTTAACACGCATGTGTGCGTACGAGGCTAAGAAGTCTTGTCGTTCGCACTGTCTCTGTATGTGTCGTCATTGGTCACTGCCAAACCGGGCTGGTTACGGCAGTCTCTACTTCCGAGGTTGCACGGGTTGCGTGGGGAAGCACTGGAGGTGTGGCAGAGCAGGAAATGCTGTTTCAGCTGGGACTGCCTGATGCAATACCCGCAATACTGTCTCAGGCTCGCCTTCATGTCTCCCGGCAGCTGATGGTCGAGGCGTGTCAGGCCTTCGCCCATCGCCCATGGTCTGCTGTGCTTGGAACGCACCATGACTGACAGAGCCTGCTAGGCGCACGAGGCAGCCGACAGACGAGAGGTGGGACAGGACTGAAACCGTGATGCGCCTCGTCCGAGCATCTGACAGGCTGTGGCAGCACTGGCCAGATCAGAGGCTAGGGGCGCAGAGGAGCTCGCAGTGCAACAGGCTGTCTTGACCTCGGCTCACTCGGCATTCCAGCGACTCTGCCAAGCATCGCTTGACATTCCGAAGGCTTCGCAGGGTCTCATGGAAAGCCAATTCCTGCGACAGAGTGCTGCAGAACGGGCTGAGTGTGGACCGCAGCCAGTAGTGGAGACCCTCAGCTCTCATCCTGTCGCAGCTACTCTGAGGCAGTTGGAAGCACAGGAAGCAACAGTGAAAGCCAAGTCCCAAGTGACTTCGGATGGTCCACCGAACCGCGAGCTGTGCCAGCACCACTGCAGGCACGTGCTGATAAAGCAGTCGTACTGGTCGAGGGTGAGGTGGAGGCACACCTTGATCACCTTGCAATACCTTGCAAACCAGCGGTTTTTAGCGGTTGTTGCGAGAGCTTCGTGACAGGCCTTGAAACAAGGTGCTTCGCCCGGAACTTGGCAGCGAGCTGGACTCTGCATGTACGTCGAAGAAAGGGCGTGTGTGGCCGTTTGTGGCAAACCGAGGCAGCAGTGCGCGGTGTCAGAGCAGCAGGCCTTGGCTCTGGTGTTGAGTTGGCCGTAAGCTCCACTCCTCCGCACTGGCGCAGGCAGAGGAGTTCATTGAATCCGCTCGTCGAGGCAGAAGCACGCGGAAGCCGACGGCGTAAGCATTCGCTGATGCGCCCAATTCGTCTCGAATTGCTTGCAAGGTCTGGTACGGCAATCCGCGATTCGTGAGAAAGCCGAGGCCAGGGCGGCCTAGGATGTGCATTGTAGCCTTTTGGTCACTGCAGTCAACGTGCAGCGTTCGGAGGCGGCTGTGGTCAGGAGCTTAGATGAGCTGAGCCTATCAGAGCTCCGACAGGGGCGCAAGTTCCTTGCGCGACAGGCCGAGGCTTGGAACAGCGAGGAGGCAAACATCCGCTCCATGCGGGAAGAGCAGAACTTCGAGGCCTGCAGCCGAAGAGCCTGGGCTTCGATGCGAACGGCTCCATTGCCTGCCCAAGTTTGAATGAACTTGAATGCTCTTCAGGTTCAAGAGGCCCTGGAGAGTGCTGCAGCTGCAGCTGCGGTTGGAGAAGAGCTGGCATTCGTCTGAGATTGGTTGTTGGGATGCAAGTCGTATGCGAGAGGGTGATGGATGATGTGACACCTGAAGGCAATGGAGCTTGGGGAGGAGCTCCGCACCAGGCTGAGAAGCATTCGCTCCGAGGAGAAGCAGGTGCAGCACGAATGTGAGAAGGCTGGCCGGCTACTAGTGTGTGTATCTCTTCCCACTACTTTTTGACGAAGTCAGCGTCTCAGGCCATTGAGGCCGTGCAAGGCAAGGGAACTTGTCAAGAGGAGGAGCGCTTCTAACAGTGCAGCAAGTGTGAAGCATGTTCCGTGCTGCAAGCTGCAGGTGGGCTCCTCAAGACAGCAAGCAGTGAGTTGTTTCGACTTTTCGCTCGACCCGGAAGATTCCAGAACTCGCACTCTGGAACTCCTGCACACGCACGTGAACGCACGCGCACACACCCAAACTGGCAGACGCGTACGTATAAATGCACGCACGCGCCGACAGCCCCGAGGCCGTCGTTCATCCAAGGTCCGTGTTGTGTATGTATGTATGTATGTATGCATGCACGCATGCATGGATGGATGGATGGATGGATGGATGGATGTGTATATATATATATATATTATATGTGTATGTGTGCGTGTGTATGCATTCCCATGCATATACTACCGACATATACGTACATATAGTATGAATGCTACTATATACGGCTATTTACAAAATATTGATTGTACAATGCTGATTGGTAGCCATACAAGTGGCTTAGTAGTTGTTTACCGTATATGCTGGACCGGACAAGCTGGTGAGCATAAAGGCTGAAACCACGTGAACACGCGTCAGCAAAGCATGACGCTGTATGTGGAACGATCAGCTTGTCGGAACGGCATTTGTACACATCTCATGCGCTATCAGTTGCTCTTTCATGCAATCAGTTGCAAGCACTTGCAGCAATAACTATGCAGAAACGTCTTCGTTTGTTTCCAGCCTGCTGCGATCCCCTGTCGCTGCCCACATGGTATAGCTTGTCCCTTTGCTCGCATCGGCATCGTGCACATGTGCAGTGCAGAAAACTCCACCCGGCACCCAGCATGCATGCCAGCGTTACACAGGACATGCCCGAGACGGCTCCTGTGTGCTGAGACCGCCGTTGCAGGAGGATATGCACCGGCTCCGATCAACAGAGTGCTCTGAGAGTGAACTCCTGGCAGAAAGGCAGGCTGCCGGCTTGACGGGTTTCTTGCTTCCTGGTGGTGACAGCAAGTCTAAGTTGAATCGGAGGCTTCACATCGAAGAAGAGGTCTTGTCCTTCGAGGTAACAGAGGAGGAGGCAAGGTGGAAGCAGTGGAAGGTGCACAAAAACTATCGAGACGCCTGAGTTTTGTGACAGGCCGCCAGCATGTTGCGACATCACTTGGATCTACAAATCAGTGAAGCAGCCGAGCGATGCAAAGAGCTGGCGGAGAACACATCTGGGGCTTCTGCCTCGAGATAGCTTCCGCGAGCTGTGCTGCCTACCATCCGCAGCGAGGCCCTACAGCAGCTTTCTGAGCTAACGCAGCAAGCGGAACGAAGTGCACAGCAAGCCCAAGAAGCTGCTGAGCAGGCCGACTTTCCTCGTCTTAGCTGTGTGGTGTGCTGACACGCACTGCCCTGCACGTCCATGAACTCATCAGGCTGTAAAGCAGACAGACCCATGTGGTGCGATCAGAGCCGATATACTGCTCGAGAGCGCGTACAGGATGAGAAGATGCACAGATGTGCAGCGCAACTATCTGAGGCTTCCGCCGAGGTGCACTGCAGACCACACGTCATGTCGCCGAGTTGTCTCAACCTCTCCGTCTGCAGGCCTCGGAGAAGTTGCAGCAGCGGCGATCCCTTGCTTTGCACGAGGAGGCTCATGACACGACGGCAGAGGCATCGTCTCTGCCGGCCCGAGAGAAGATTGTTCCAGGTCTTGGCTGCAAAGCTTAATGCCGAGCGCAGCATAGCCCATGATGAGTGGCTTGCCGGTGAAGAAGAGGAGGCTGCTGTGACCTTAGCCACCGTGATTTCCAATCTGATCCCATGTTCCTTGCGCATGATCAGTCCCACAGAGCACCAAGGCTCTTTCCGAAGAAGACCGTTGCATCCGAGCCTGCTGCGAAGAGATTGCTGCAGCTAGATACGAGGTGCTCGCGACCGGATCGTCTCTCTGCAGACAGCCTTGTCTCTTCGTGGCTGCAGGCAGAGACTGTCATCTCGAGCTGGCGAGCAGAGGATGCAGTTCTGGAGGTTGATGCCCAGGAAGCTGGGTGCGAAGGGGAACTTGCAGGGAGACGATCGCAGTTCTTGACTTGCACAGGAGCTTCTCGACAAGGCTGCAGCATTGCAGGTGGGATCGAGATGGAAACTATGCTGCTTTTGCGCTCTGGCGGCTGTGACTGATCCTCAGCACACTCGATGATTGCCGGCCTCAACATCTCAGCTCGAGCAACATGCAATTCAGCTTGCCAGCCCAGCAACAACTCGCACACCTGCCCGGTTCGTTTCGTCTGCAAAGCCCGCCACGCGGCCATGGTCTGGGTTTGACATGCCTGCGAGGTGTTCCTTGCAATCAATTTCGTGAGAGGTGCTCGTACATGGGCATCCCTCTTTGCTAGCTAGCATTTCGTCGAGAAAACCGGCTGAACTTGTGAGGGCATGCGGCATGCGGTCTTGGAAGCAGCTCGCACTTTCGCTGGTTCAATCTCGAGAGCAGTGTACTTGTTTGGTCCAGCTCATCCCGGGTCTCAGTGTCACTTGAAATATAATTGAGAGCTGAAAGCGCCCAAAGACTTACGACTTTTGCCTCGAGCCCAACACAAACCGTTGCGGTGCTGGGCTGTGAGCTGCCAGGTATGCCGGCGCCACCCGGTGCTTGCCCATGGCAACGGCCATGTTCGGGAAGCTGATCTGGCTGCGTCCTCGAGTCTTTTGGGCGATTCTTGGGGCAGATTTGGGCAGGCTTGCGCTCAGCATCCGAGGCCGACAGGGACCGTGCTCGCAGAAGACAGGAGGCATTGCAGTTGAACGATGGTATCATGGCCCATGGCGTCCCCACGGCATCACGCAGGGGGTCGAAGCTGCCGCCAGAGCCTTCGGCAGACTTGCCGCCATCTTCAGGTCCATCGGGTCACATGCCTGGGGTCAACGTCGTTTCTGATTCTGCCCTGAGTGCGTGGCGTGGGACGTGATAAATCATTGTGAGGTTGCAGACCGACCACATTCTCTCGGAGATTGTCGCCGGACATCGTTGTACCACGACCGTTGTCTAGCATCGCTGGCACATCCGCCAGCAATTCAGTCGAGCTCGCATGCCCCTGGGCTGCGAAGCTACACGGCAAGTGCCCGGCGCAAGCGGTGCAGAGTTCTGAGGTTACTGGTCCAACAGTGTCAGGCGCAATCTGGAGAATCGAGGGAGACGTTAGCTGACAGGTGCTTGAAAAGCATTTGCTTCCTCGCGCTGCCTTGCAGGCCCTATGCCCTGCGAGGCAGCCCGTTCCTCCGCCCTCCGGTGTCCGCCGCGCTTTGGCACTTCGAGCTGGACCTGCATGAAAGAGGTGGGTTGCTGTTGCGGGTCCGCTCTGATCCTAGCTGACTTAACCAGGTCCAGTAGACTGCTGCACAGCCTTTCAGTCGCACATGGTTAGGCAGTTTCTGCATCAACCAGACATGCGACAGGCCTTCAAGTGGAACAGGATGACAACTCCACCGACTTTGTGATCGAGACGGCATTGCAAGGTTCGCGGGTGGGGTGTGACAATGTGGAGCAGATGTTGCTTATGTTTTGGTTTGGTGTCACGGCTGCCCAGGTGTTCATGATCGTCGCCGCGGGGTGATTGATTAGCTCATGATGTATGAAGCACAACCACAGCAATCTGCAGCAGCACTGGTCTAGCTGAGGTATGCTTGAGCTGAGCTTGGTTTGTCACCGAGACGGTCAGATCATGTCGACAGGCACAGCATGGTGTGCCACTCTGCTGCACATGCTTGTGCAATGTCGTGTTCGCTCCCTTGAGTAATAGTTGTTTCTGCGTAGTCCTGGTGTGATCAACTTTGCACAGAGGTGGCTGCAAAAACGATGCCGCCTTTCGATGGGGTTGTTGTCCCGCCCTTGCCGCTGCTTGACATAAGCGTTGACTCCTCAAAGCTTGTCTCTCTTGCCCGGTCATGTGAGGCGTAGGCACAGTTGAGCTGTGCAGCAGTGACTGTTTGACCACGCGGATTTGGATGTGGTTCGGCTGAGTCGCACTTTGACTGCCTGACGATTGCAGCAGTGACTCGTTTGTCAACATACAAGAACGCATGAGAACCAGGCTTTCACCAGCTCAGGCAGATGCAGGCTGTTTGCGATGGAAGGCACCGTGGCTATGGCTGTGAGGGAGTTCCGCAGCTTCTCTTTCATTCGGCGCAGGCATTGCAGCGACGACAGGCCCAAGCGAGCCAGCGGCCTCGAACGATATGCGCAGCAGAAGCTGAGGCGACAAAGGTCAGCCGCGATGTGAGTCCCGTGTTTGCTGTGTTCGTGTCTGTGTCGGAGGCCGGCGCAGTCGTCGATGTCCCCGTGTACTCGCAGTTTCACGTAGCTCCTGCCGCACACATGGAGCAAATCGCAGGAGCAAAGCCTACAGCTCCCGCTTGGTGGTGCGAGTCAAGAAAGCATGCAGGAGCCATCGGCAAGCCTGTGGCTATGACCATTCTGCCACCGCCAAGTCTCTGCGCAGACGTTGGGCCAGTCCTCATCGAAGCCGTGTCTTGAGCAGCACAACTTGGCATGCAAGTCGTCCGTAACCTTTACACGACAAGCGTATGAACGGGACAAGTTCGTTTTTGGAGCAAGGTATCAGCCGTGCAGGAGGACTTGACGAACAAATCAGGAAGGGATGTGCAGGCCTTGCGTGCCGTCATGATCGCCAGTCAGCATGTCGCAGCTGGTGGCCGTTGTTGTTGCGCGTCGCGTCTTGGGAGGTAGTCTCCTTGGAGGCTTGGTTGGAGCACGTGCCTCCCAAAGCACGGCTTCAGATTTGGTTCTGCAGCGCAGATCAACCGCAATTGCTTTGGCTTCTGCAGTACCGTTTCTTGATGTTTCTTTGCAGCTCCAGTTTGGGTTTTCCTGTCCGAGGAAAGTGGCGAGGATGACGTTTGTCGAACTTGGGTGACGCTGTGGCACGGTAAAGAGCCTCTGATTCGGATCAGGGTATCGAGTCGGCTGTCGTGCAAAAGGGCCGTGGGACTTGCCACTTTCAGCTCTGGGAGCGGAACATGAGTTGCTGCATGGGCTGGTAGCACGGACTTTTGTATCTACCTTGCAAAGCAATGGACAGGTGGAATCGCGGATGCTCGAGGAATCTCGATGCTCAGAGGCGAAAGTGCCGAAAGCATGCTTTAGCAAGTACATGCAGGTCGCCTAGTCAGTGCCTGCTATTGACGCATCGGGATGTCGCAGGACGAAACCTGTCAAGAGCTTGTCATTGCGACAGACGAGGCTCGAATTTGCGTGAATTCCATTGCGCGTCGAGTTCTGTGTCGTCCCTGAACGGATTCGCGTGCAGCGACCCTCTCCTCCCAGGTGCGGGCTGCAGCCCGTGCGGCCGTGCATGGCTACGAAGCCAGGGAGGCAATCGCACAGAGGACGGCTCACGAGCTGCAGGCGCGTTTTGGGTGTGTCTTGAAAGCTTCCGACCCAGATGATCTGTGGGCAGGAGGAAGTTAAGCAGAAGCAGGAGCTTTCTGCACTTGCTCACTCGACTTCGGTTGCCTTCCCCTCTCCTTTGCTCCCCTTCCTCACACGTCTCTGTCTACGCAGAAAGGAAGCGCGAAGCTTGGATGCCGGCCACCGTTTCAATTCCGCCGAGCTCCGTGCAGTCACTAAGCTGGATTTCAGGCTGTGTGAAAGGCCGCAGAAGGCCACCCAAATGCCCGATGTGCCCGAGGAAGCTGCTGCACGGCGTGCTTTAGAAGCAGAAGAGCCGCTTGAATGCATCACCACGCTGGCAGCATGTGCCATGGGCGCAGTGTAAGGTCCAGCTGGATTGCCAGGGAGAGGTACGAGCAGGAGTTGGCGAGCATGCGCGCGTACGGCGAGAAGGAGGCATGCCTCCAGTCACGGTCTGCTGGATGCTGTGCGAAAGTGGTGGCCCAGGAGGCAGAGACCATTCGCCGGGTGCTGGCAGCAGAAGAAGCATTGGCAAACTCGATGCGCTGGCGCAAGCCTGAAAGAGTTTCACATAGTTTCACGCATGGACGCCCATCGGTTGCGGCTTGCTGCGGCCAGCACTCCACTTGCGCAAAGTGTCCGAAGGTCTGGCCAGCACAATCAGCTTGGACTGGAGCTCTTCGGGGTGGCTCAGGCCACGAACAGTTTCCCATGTTCTGATTAAAGTGACACAGAGCATACCGTTGTAGTCATTGCAAACCCTCTTGACTAATTCTTGAGAAAACCCATCCACGGTCTTTCTCCAGCAGTGTGTAGTGGATGTGCCGCCAGTTCAGCCACTGTCTCCGTAATGAGCCGCGCAAAGTTTTGCTGATGTGCGGAAGGCCCAGAAAGGCATTCATCGCACTTCACCCGCCTCCACGGCCGATGGAGCTCCGCCAGACCTGGCAGAAGCGGAGGCCTTGGCCGTAGCCTCAAGAGACTGTGCTTTCTTGCCAGCATCCACGCAACCAGGTTGGATGACACGTCCGGTGGATGTGATGCGAAGCATCAAGGCTGCATGTGATGAACTGACGGGCAAAGGTGTCTGGTTTTATCCGTGGGGCGGCTACCAGGCCCCGGTGCCCACCTGTGGCACTCCTAATTGGATGCTCGGCTTTAGAAGTGGTGGCAAGAGAAAGGGTTGGCTTCACACTTCATCGCCACTGGACTCCAGCATGGTCTCATTGCCATCACTTCGAATTCAGAGGGAACTGAAATGATATGTGGCGGCTTATCACGCTGCAAGATGCGAAGTCATTTCCGACATCTTTGCCAAGATGTCTTTGGACGAATTTCCTCGCCGAGTGGGAGCTTGCAAAAGAGCCGCAATTTCCGTATGTCGAGATCGACGGAGCATGTCCAATGTAAATGCCTGCCGTCTTTCGCTTGAGCTTGTCTGTTGTCCATTCAATAATTTCTGCTTCCGCTTGTACTTAGAACATGTACCAAGGCAGAAGAAAACGAACACACGCGGTTCTGCTTGCAAGTGTGTGAATGGACTGTTATGCCGGAGTCGTAGGATCAGGTAAATACACGTACTAGGTCTTGTTTGCACGGAAGACAGCCAACCATGCATGGACTCGTCTGCTTGAGCAGTTTCAGTGGCTCGTGCTTCCTCCTTGTCAGATATCCTCGATTTTCCCACGCCATGTCTTCCTCGGACAACAAAGTCTCGGAGGCCGAAGTGCGCAAGGCTCAAGCAGACTGGTCGAGGGCAATTGTTCGAATCTCGAAAATCTACTTGGATGGAGGCGACTATATTGCTGCTGCTGGTGAGGCCGCGGGTGACCTCTATGGCTACGGCTACACGAACGTGCTCTTCAAGCCAACCAAGGCCAAAGACTGCCAGTTCCGCCCGATGGCATCCCAGGCTTTGTCGTACTTCGTCGGCTGCAATGCAGTGGAAGATGGTATTCCGGAAGACGGAGGTTTCGCAATCAACGGTGGCAAAGGCTGGTCGGAGGTTGTGTTTGACAACCACCAGATCAACTTGAAAGGCAACGTCGCCATTGCAATGGGAAACTACTATTTCACAAGCACTGCAGATGGCAGCAAGACCAAGGTCGAGTACACATTCGGGTATCAGAAACTAGGTAGTGCTTTGGGACATTTTATATTTTCTCTTATTGGGCTTGAGAGGATCTTACCTACTAATATTTTTCAAAGGCTTTAAAAAGCACATCCTAGGAAAAATTCCGATGGAAAGGTACGAATCTTCCTGCATCATTCGTCAATGCCGTTCAGCCCTGCCTCATCTCCCGTTACAGAGGCGGACGTGCAAGCTGTGCAGACTGCCTGGGCCAATGCCATCAAGTCTATCTCCAAGACTTACCTTGATGCTTTGCGGAAGTGCAAGTCATAACTTTCGAGCCGTAGCCTTCTTCGTGCTGCAGATACTGAATTTCACAATATACCATAGGTTAGACTTCTTGTAAAGCAGTAAAGAGCAGTCAAGGAGGGAGGCGACTATGTGGCAGCCGCGGCCAAGGCAGCGGGCGAGCTCTACGGCTACGGCCACACGAACGTGCTCTTCAAGCCCACCAAGGCAGCTGATGCGCAGTTCCGTCCGACGGCCGAGGATGCCATGTCATACTTTGTCGGGCACAAGGCGGTTAAGGACGGTTATTCGGAGGATGCCGGTTTCGCCATCAACGGCGGCAAGGGCTGGTCGGATGTGGTTTTCGAGAACCACCAGATCGATGTGACTGGTAATGTTGCCATTGCAATGGGAAATTACTACTTCACCAGCGCAAGCGATGGAAGCAAGACCAAGGTTGAGTACACATTCGGCTACTGGGCAGCTGGGTTCCTTTCGACGCTTTGAGGGTTTATTGCTCCGACGGAAACTGAATTTTTTGGGGGCCTGTGACATTAAGACTCAGGCTACAAGCGCAACAACGACTGCAAAGTGCGCATCTTTCTGCACCACTCGTCGGTTCCATTTAGCCTTTCCATTTCGGAGGCAGAAGTGCAAGCAGTGCAGGGTGCCTGGGCCAATGCCATTAAATCGATCTCGAAGACGTATCTTGCTGGAGGCAGGGATGGGCCACACATTTTCGGAGTTTGAGCCTTTTGCTCACATGAACATTCCTTAACATATTTCGGAGATCTTGCGTTTAAACAACTATGTGTAAACGCTTCTGTTGTTCACATGGTTTTTGTTAAAGCACTTCTGGTACAAGTGAATATGTTTAAACATGGTTAAGCATCCTCCTTTGAATCAAAGCGCATGTCAAGGTTTAAGCATGTTTAAACATCGCTGTTCGATCTGGCTCTCGGGCTGATACCTATAAGAGCTTTTCCGGCCTTGAATTGCAAAAAGAAACTTACTTCTGCAACCGCCTGCGCCCCGGGTACCCGTGGCAGCACAGACATCCCAAAGTAGCGCCATCGTTTGGATGGGGGGCCCATTCGGAGGCCTGGAAGGGAAATGTCTACACACGTGTGTTTAAGCATTTGTAAACGTTCCTTTCGGCCCTTGCTGGGAGGGGGCCCATTGGGAGGCCCTAGAGCGTCCTTGTGGGAGGCCTGGAAGGGAAGGTTTAAACACACGTTTTTGAACATGTTAAAAATTGTGCAAGCCACTGGAGAGACGGTGACTTCTTGGTCCCATGCCCAAATCGTTCAAACTGATTTTGCGCATATGTCTAAATATGTGTCGTCCAAATTTTTAAGCATACTGGCTCAAACCGTTTAAACATGCTCGGGCCTCAGGTGGCATGTGTTAAAAACAGTTTGTGTATAAACACTCCGGGCCACCGGTGGCACATGAACCGTTTAAACATTTCCCCCGCCCCAACCCTGGCTGGAGGCGATTACGTTGCTGCTGCAGCCAAAGCAGCGGGCGAGCTCTACGGCTACGGCCACACGAATGTGCTCTTCAAGCCCACCAAGGCAGC